TATAAAAGTCAGAAAGGATCTGAAAAGATGAACAACAGTTCAACAAACTGATTGATCCTCAGCTAGCAGCAGCGCAGCAGGAGCTTCCCTCAGCTGTCTCCTGGTTGTGTAACCAGCACCTCCTTGCTGACCTCATGGAACATCTCTGAGGACACAACAGAGACGAAAGGATCACATTCACTGCATCAGCTCCCTCCCCTCAGTGCCCTCTGGCCTTCAGCCCGATTCAGACTGAACTAAATGTTCCCCTTTGGCCCAGAAAAGGAGGAAAAAAACTTTTTTGTTGTGTAACTCTGTAATCTTAGCTTTTCCTTCACTTAACGGTTCCTTTCGTTACCATGACAGAGGTCACTTTAGTTCACATGTTTAGTAGCCTGCAGGTAAAATTCAGCTAAAAGGTTTACTTAACTGGATCTCCAGTAGTTTCAAATATCTGGAAACTGATTGATGGCCACCTTTAACGCTTGCAGAGATTTAGGAAGTTAAACCCTGGAGTTTACAGGCAAACTTTGGAAAATCATACCAGAATCAGGTGGAAAATATTAGATTATTTGGTATGGAAACTTACATATAGGTATGTACAGTACAGTTGCATACTGCCGTTAGAAACTGAGTATAATAAGCTGATAATTAGTCTGATAAGCCAGCATCAGTAGTCAATACGTATTATTAAACCATTAATCAAACAGTTAACTTTTATAGCATATTTGTACATTTATTTATAGGTTATAGGCTATAGAAAAGGGGAATCAGTCCTATTATTCAGTATTTCTGTCACAGCAGTTATTTATCAGACTTTTTAATCAACATTTACTGTCATCAAGGGAAAATTATAAGACTTCAAAATTAAAAATCACAGCTGTTTCCCTGTAAGGTCACATCAAATGGCCACCGTAGAGGGAACATGGCTTGTTTCTTGCTCCTCATTTGTTCTTAGGATGGTTTATGGTGGGAGAGCAGAAGGGAGGTCACGATGTGCCTGATCACTGCAGGAGACTCACGCTATGAAAATGAACAAACAACCTGTCGGAGCTTCACGGCCGAGAGACGGAGGTAGAATATAAAGCAGAGGCAAACTCTCAACATCCTCGCCTCACAGTCTCAAACAGCTGCAGGATTCGTTAACACATCCTTCCCCATCTCTCCCTGCTGTCTGTCTCCAGGTCCCAGCGAGGCTGCCGGACTCCCTGGCACCAGCGTCTGGCGCTGGGGAAGATCTATCTCAGAGATATGAGCAGGAGAAACTCCACCCAAGAGGCCTGGTATACACACAGACAAACCTATTACATCCTCTGAGCTAATCATTCCCCGAGACCACGACAACACAAACATCCCCAGGACAGAAACACCAGTCTTCCTCTGACTCGCTGCTGTTTTTAGAGCTCTAAATCTCTGGTAAAGTGACAATCCTGATACACACAAGCCTTTTTTTTTTTAAAGGCTTTTGTCTTTAAGAGGGCTGTTCTGTCTTCGAGGTCTCATCCTGCTTATACAACAAATACATGAACATCTTTAAACTTTCTTAAACTTTTTTTTCTATCACATCTAAACTTTAGTTTTTACATGATTGACTTTTTGAATAAATGTTTTGTTTTTTATTCTCGGTACATATCACAAAACATAAAATTAAGTTAATTTAAGAAGTGCATTGTAATAAAAGTAGTGCAAACTACTGCCATAGGCCTATCCCTTATTCATGAATTGAAAAAGATTTTTTTCTGCTATTGATTCCTTGAAATTCAATAATATATGTAAATATAAAACATAAAAACTTAATTCAAAACAAAAAAATATAGATCATTGTTTTGCTGTAAATTTTAAAAAAAATTGCGGATTTACTCATTATAATTAAGTTGAAGTGATTCAAATGCTTTCTGACTTCATTTTTATTTATATTTAATAAACAGAATTTTATTTTTTATTTATCATTTTTTCTCATTTTTCAAAAATCCTGACTCTGACTTTTGATAAAAGTGTGATGTGATCCAAAAATGTTCAAA